GGGGGTGAGGTGGCATTTAGTGAGTAAAAGCCAGAGATGCTGATAAACATTCTACAATGCACAGGACACTGTGCCTCACAATAAATAATTTGGTCCAAAATGTCAATGGTGCCAAGGTTGAGAAGCTTGCTGTAGAATTACGAGAATTGGGCAGCTTACATTTCAAATTATAACTTGGAAAAGTTTGCACAAAATACACTTAGATGTTAATTTTTATCACTTTGATAAAAATTAGTATATATAGACATATATGTTCTCCTTACACTAAACTGTATCCCACCTGTTCTCCTCCTCACCTCATACCTGAAGATAGATCTGCCTCTGTCTTATCTGCCTTAGGGGAACTCTGGCCTGGACTTCATCATCGGAGAACACTGGAAAGCCTTTCCTGCCTTGATTTTGGTGACATCTAGCTTGCAACCTGAAGCTTCTTTCTACAGACTGATAGTTTATGTTCTCTCACAGCTGCTCTAAACTTATCACCTAAACATGCTAACAAAGCACATTATTTACATGACACATCAGCTGAATGAAAAAAATCTCTTTACATAGCTCAGTTTTAACTAATGTATTATTGATAATAGTTCTGTTGCTCTAATTATTAAGGATCGGAATATAAGATAGCAATTTAAAAATTAAACATATTCTTACTACCCTTTTGGTCCATAATTAATGCATTCATACAATCAAACAACTGGAAGAGAACTAAGAGCTTATCTAGTCCAATTCCCTCATTTCACAGATGAAGAAATTGATGCTCAGTTTAGGTTCATAAGTGACTTTTCCAAAGCCAAAATGCTAAGTGTAGCTGAGCAAGGACCAGAGCTCTGGGCTCCTATATCTTCATATAAAACTGTTTAAATTTAAAAGTATATTTAAAAAGATCCAGAATTACTAAAGTAATATATTTCCAATGAATTTTTATATGTGAAAATATAAGAATCATATATACATATACTTATGATAAACTCCAAATGTATTGTGCATATTAATATAGATGCACACAGTTTTATATATATATATATATTTTTTTTTTTTTTTCCAGGCCTTTTTCTCAGGTAAGGTTACTTGTCATTTATTAAATTACTAAAATGCATATCATCAAGTTGACTTCACATTAGTAGAAATAAGCTATAGTTTAAAAATTCTGAAATACATAGCATCAAAAAGAATAAAATTTATTACTAACTATAATAATTATAATGTGCTGGATTTGAATTTCCTGTTAATATATCTTTATTATAGTACTCAAATTAGAATAAAATAAGAAGTACAGTGCTGTTTTCTTTGTAGTCTAATAATAGTATATTGTTTCTACAATTTTTGTAGAAAATTGTACTCTATAATATACCACAAATAACTTTTCCTTTTCAAAAAATTCACATTAATAAGTACAATATATAATTAATAAAGAAAAATAACCTGCCATCTACTTGATCAACATGAAAACAATTTCCTCATTAAATTGCTCTAAACCTCTTCCAAAAAGAAATTACCACTAAAGCCAACCCCACTTTTCTCTACTTATTAAAAATATTAACATTATATGATACTCTCAGTTTCTTAGCCTCTTCATATTTATCAGGCAAGATTATACATTTACCTAAAAGAATAATATTTTCAAATAATCAAATATGGTTAGAAACTGAATGGATCATTTCTAACAATCAGAAATAATTAAAATAGTAACTAAATTTTTTAGGTAACATCAAGCTTATTTGAAAGATAACCTTTTTGAGGGTTTATGGTTTTAATGGAAAATACTATAAGTTCAGTGTTATATTTTAATACTTTAAGTAGTCTTAGCCATTTTACTATTTTTCAACTTCTAGACTTACCTGGGTCTTGTTTTAGGTAAATATGTAAGTTGTTTCCAATGATTTGTTATGACATTGTGAATCCAACCATCACCTGCAATATTATAACAGTTCAGAAATTAAGATTAGGTGTCTGGGACAAAATTTTAATTTTTTTCCAAATTTATGCAACTATATTTTGTATGTGCATATTTTCTCATAAAAAATTTAAGAGATATACAAAATTAGAGTGAACATGATAATGAACCCTCACATATCCCAGATTCAACAACTATCAAGATTTTTGTCACATGTGCTCCATTTATCTCTTTTTGTAATTGTTCTGCTGAATTATTCTAAAGCAAGTCCTAAATCTCCTATCATTTGCCCAATATACTTCAGTAAGCATTGCTTTTTTTAAAAAAGGGCATTTTTTACATAACCACAATGCCATTGTCACTAACTACAATGTCATTAGCACCTTCAACAAAACTAAAACTTATTTCTTAATATCATCTAAAACATACATGACCATATCTTAAGCTGAATTTATAAGGGAGGAAAATGACTAGACTAAGAGGATATTTACAGATGGGTACTAGACTTATCAAGGCGACCACTTCATAAGGCATATAAATGTTTAATTACTTGGTTGTACACTTGAAACTAATATAATATTGTATATCAACTGTAATTAAAAAATAAATTAATTTAAGAATAAAAATTTTAAAAATTTAAAAGAGTTAGGACATTTAATTTCCCATAGGTCAATGACCAAACCAGCAAATAAGAATTAAATACAGTAGAGCTCATGAAGATATGGTATTAAACAACCCCTAATGAAATGGGTAGATGTTCATTTTTTTAATTAGATTCCAAATCTCTTTTAACAAAAATCCCCAGAAATTAGAAAAGCATAATATTCTGCAATAACTAACATCCCCTACTAGCAACTGCTGTTTCTCCAGCCAGCCTCCAGGATTTGTTTGTTGGCCAGCAGACTGCCAGACACACAGTTGATGCTTAATAAATTTTTGTTGAAAATAATTGTTTTCATATCCTATATAAAATTACAGATATGGTTTTAATGGCATATAATGTCTCTTAATGAAAACTTCTCTAGCCATAGAAAACTTCTGAGTTAAGAAAATACAAAACATTTAATATGTCAAACTAATAAGTGGATATTCTTGGGTCATCTGTCTATCCCGATGGCACAATTTTACTGCTGAAAGAAAAATTGCATTACAAAACCTACAGCCATTGGAATCAGCAGTGACAGGAGTTAAAAAATTCTAGGGAAGCACTTTTCTTTATAGCTCTGGAACAAAAAAGAGAAGAAACAGGCCTTCCCACCTTATATTTCCAGAGCATTCTGGGAAAGGCTGCTCTTATAATTCCTATTCTAGCCTACAATATAAGCATCTGGATCAAAAATCAGGAGGACACAGAATGACAAAATATTATAGTTGAAAGGGGCTTTAATTCATTTAGGTTCAACCACCCTTCGTTTTCTCTATACCTAGAAAACAGGAGAACAGAAGCAAAGGAGTTTTCTATTTCTATAATAATTCTCAAGGTAAGCATATAGTTGGGGATAAAGATAAATCAGAAAATCAGAAAAAAAGAAAGATATCTTGTGTATCAAATACAATTAAGAAAAATGATATAATAATTGTAGGCTAAACTTGAATTGACTTACTTAATGGAATATTGTCCGCACTTAGTCCACCAAACAAGAAAAGCTTATCATCAGCTATTGGTGTTAAAGTATGCCAGGACCGATGTTTGGGGCTCTCTCCAGTAATAGGAACCCTGTGGCAAAGGGAAAAATATAAAGTCTGGGTATTGTGTTAGTTAGAATAAAAGGATTTTGATTATCTCAGATCTTAAACGGAAAAATTGCCCTCACTACTTAAAAAAAATTGATTTTGCTAATGCCACCTACATGAAATTTAACAAACATTCTTAAATTCTTAGATGAGTTTAAACAATCATTCCACTTAGTGTCTATTCCACGTGGCCACAGAACACAGATTGAAAATTCTTGGTTAATTCACAATGTTAACTCAGCCTCATTCTTGTTGGTTAATCAATAAAACTTCCTCAGGTTTTTCTACGTAATTACTTTCATGTCTATAAATTTTAACTGTTGTTTAATGTTTAATTTTATGTTTTCAGCAGATTTCCTCAATGATATTATGGGATTTTACTGTTGTTTTACTTTGGTCTATTTGTTGTAGAATTTCCTGAAGCGTTATTTTCACCTAAAAATGCTAGCTACTCCATCTTTGAAACAAAAGCATGCAAATCATTCCAGATCCAGGATAAACCACTAAAGATTTCAAACAAATACTGTTCTATTGTTTTAAAAAATAAAAACAGAAACAGAAAAGTTCAAGTAATTTAAAAGACAACATTTAACTAGAAGACACTGTTTTCCAGCATTCTTGAATGTTCCAGAATAACATGGACATTTGTAGAAGATATAATTTGTTTTTTCCAAGCTGGAAATATTTTTATTGTTTTTGTTGACTATTAAAAAAAATTTCAGTTAGAAAACATTTAACCACCACAAAAATATTTTTTTTAAATGAGACTTCCATAATCATGTCCTCCTACAAGAAATAATAATAATTTGGTATATATCTTTCCAGACTTTAATGCATACATAAAACTTATTAGAATATATAAATGGGACCATATATTCCATTCTGTTAATTTTTTTTATTCAACTGGTATGTTATAGAATATTTCCATGAAGTATAGAATCCTTTGGTAACAGAAGCATGGCAGCCCTTTAAGCAAACATACAAATGATTTACACAATCCCCACTTGTGGACATGAAGGTTGATCTCAAGTTTTTGTTTTTATAGATAATGCTGTAATAAACATCTTTGTGTATGCACACGCACAAAAATAAATACACTTGTCCAATTATTGTCTTCAGAGAAATTGTGGATCAAAGTAGGAATTCCATTTTATATTTTAAACATACTACCATAATACCTTTCAGAAGATTTGTTACCAATTTATACTCTCACTAATTGTGTTGTTACAACCTAGTACACACTGGTCATTTGTAATTATTTTTATCTGATAACTGTAAACTATTTTAATTTCCATTTCTTTAATAATCTATGAAAATTGAACATCTTTTAAAAATGATTTTGCCTGTTTGTGTTTCTTTTTATGAGTTGTTCTTTGCCCACTTTCCTATTGGGTTATTTCTCTTTTTCTTACTGGTTTTCTTAGTTCTTTGGATCTTAGCCCTCTCTGTTAGAAATATTATAAATATTACTTCTAGTTTATTTTTTGTTTGCATTTTCCAGTTTGCCTTTTAACTTTGTGTGGTATATTTTTCTATACAGAAATATTTAATTCTTAAGTAGTTTTATCAATCTATCTTTTCATTTATGAATTTTGGGTTTATATCAATCATCTTTAGAAAAGCTTTCTCCGTGCCAAAATTTTAAAGATAATCTGCTATATTTTCTTCTCGCACTTTTGTGGTTTTATTTTTAACAGCATTTATACTTTGAAATAACATATAGCTCTGAGTCCATCTCATTATATGAACAGCTGACTTGATAGCTAAATATATTTATTCTATTGCTAAATATATATCATGAACAATAAATAAAACCTGACTTTTATCCACTCCATTATCTGTTCACCTGTGATGATCCCATTAAACTGTTCCTTCATTTCTTCTACTGACCAGTACTTGAAAATACATAGTATAAAACCAGTACTTTTATAAAATCAATGTTCAACTGCTAGTATTCTCATGTTTTATATAGTTTGGTTAAAGAATAAACTCTAGGGACCCCAGGAGACAGAGTGGAGAGCATTGCAGCACCAGGGCGGCCTCAGTCACTGCACCCACCTGGTCCCC